GATCCATCAGTTGTATATAACCATAAACTGTTGTCATATGAGTTTAAGTCCCATGCGGGTTTTCTAGTGTATACCAATAGGTGTTGACCATTTGGAGAGAGACTCACTGATTGAAAACTAGTTGCATTAAAGAATTCATCGATTGTTAGCTTTGAATGAGCTCCGATCGATGTATAACATTGCAGTGTAAAAATGACGAATAAATATACTCGCATTTTCTATCTTTCAAGACACTGATTCTAAAAGAAACAGGATAAGAAATTAACATATAAGGTGGGAGAGACCAATGAAGAGTATATCGAATGATCGCGTTTTACGTAAAAAGCCTCGAGTTAAGAACGTAAATATTTCGTGAATCCGATGTGATATTTAAATGATATAAAACCAGAATAGATGTGACGACAAAAACATATATTAGTCTCGTTACATAAAACTAAGCCGATCGATAGTCACCGCAAAAGACGACCAGTAAATGAAAAGCAGAGGTGCGTGCATATTACACCGTTATATTGGCTTATCTGAGGAAATATGTTAACTTTTTCTTGTTGTTACTCATTGTGATATTTTGTAACAGATTATTGAAATATTTTTCGTTTCGTCAAGTTTAATGTGTGTTATAATCTAATATAAGTGCGGTCGCTGTCTCTTGATAGAGCAATTGTGTATAAATTTGATATATTTACAAACGACTGTACACAAAACCCAAATAATCAGCTTTTATGTAAACATCGAGTATATGAATACGGGGCTGTCTGGTTGGTCGCGTAGATCATAGATTTATCATCAACGGTCTCTTTTTATAGAACGATACTAGAGAATTTCTCCGTTTTACATTAAAAATCCTTCTGTAATACTCGTGTATTTTTTTCTTTCCTTTTCATATCATTGCGATTAAGTTTGATAAACTGCGCTTGTATTCCATTGTGTGGAAATCTTGGCTGCTTTTTCTTCGTCAAACCGAATGTTATCTTCGTCACAGTCCTACTTCCGGGGCTCTCGGGTCGGGACTACTTTAAGAAAATTCTAAACACAATATAGAAATGTTATATTCAATGGTCATCTGAGCAATTCCCCAGAGACAATATTAATATATTATTTATGGTTTATTCTTAGGTAATGTGCTTACAAATAAATTGATATTAAAAGCCTACTAAAAACTATGGGAGAATAAACAAAGCTTTTCATCAAACTTAAACGAGATCTTCTGTCGTAAATGGAGGTACATGATCGTATTTTGCAAGCCATTTAAGCTCTTCTCGAGCTTTGATTTTGCCATGCCAAGGATTATTACTAAGCGTATGACCTTCATCAGGAAATAGTAATAATTTCACAGGCACTCCTAAATAAGTTAAGCTACGTTCTAAAATATAGCTTTGATCAGCAGGAACTCGAATATCATTTGTGCCAG